ATTTTTCTTGAAAAATAATTCTCTGCACCTTTTTCAGGGTTTTTAGTGACATGAAATTCTTTGAAATTTTAAGAGCTACCTCAGTGGCAAAGGATGAAAGTTTTGAAGGATTTTTGTTATTTTGAATATTGTGTATAAGTCGCTTTAATGACTTTATAGCCAGGATATATTTTCGTAGAAACTTGTTAGGCTTTGAAGGGTTTAATTGTTCTCTTTTTGGTATATTGTTTTCCATGGCACTTTTGATAGTAATATTCAAGTCTTCCCATGAGATATTAGGTGTTGCGGTAACCATCAACTCAATTTCTTCTTGCATTGATTGGATTTGCTCTTTGGTAGCCTTATGAAATTGAAAGGTTTTTGTTGAGAAGGAAATTCTTTCTGGTTTATTCTCAAACCAATCTAATATAACTGTGATTTGTTTGTGATCCGTTTGAATTGCTGTTTGATCGAAAACTTTATAGCTTAGGATTTTGCTTGCAAGATTATTGGATATCCACACTTGATCGATTCTCGATGCACTGGTTAATGTAAAGTGTGTATACTCATGCTCTTTGTTGGCTACTTTTGCGACATCAGTGAAGTTATAAAGGTAATTGTAGATTTGCCTTTTAAGAGGAGAAGTAAGGGCGTTGATTGATGGAGCGTAAGTAGGAAAAGAATTGAAATCCTCCGCAATGATTATGTGTTTGCTAGTATGTTCTCTAATAAAATCTTGTAATAATTTTGTGGCTATTTTCCTGGAAGAGAAGTCATAAGGCAAATAGCAAGAGATTATAATGATATTTACTTTGGGTTTGAACTTCAAGTGAATGGCACACCAAAATTCATTTTGTGTGAATGTTTTGAATATATGAGTAGTAATTGATTTAGTGATGATTATACTTGCTCCACTGTTGGCTGAAGTATTGGGTTTGCTGAAGATGACAGTTTTATCACTTATTTTGGAAGGAAGGGGATAATTTTGAGAATTTTTTGTTTCGGTGCAGCATAGAATAGCCCTTTAATTAGTGATATTGTTGGCAAGTATTGTTAGTTTTGTTCTGTCATTAAGACCTCTTACGTTAAGGATTGAAATTGTGATAAGGTTTTTAATTGATGATGGATGAGTTTTTACTGAATTTGAGGTGAAAGAATTTATGGGAATGTTAATAGGATGGGTTTGTAATAGGGAATTGTTTAGGGAATTTAAGTAAGTAGGATTAGATTCGAAAGATTGACTTGAGTTAATCAATTCTGACATAATTATATAAAATTGGGGAGAAGAGTCATTAAAGGTTCTGGTGACTCTGGGTCAATTATGAAATTATCAGGGAGTTTTTCAAAGTGGAAATGGGTGCTAAGTATTTTAATATTATTATTAAGTTGAGGATTATCTATTAGGGGAGGGGTAAGTTCAATATTCTTTTCTGTGAGTAATTTGTTGGCCTCAGTTATGTCTGGTAAGATGGGAAGAAGAGGTGAAATCCACTCTCTGGGAATTTGACCGGTATACTTGTTTTTAATTTTTGAAATTGTTTGTTTGAAATCTGGTGAATCTCTATTGAGATGATCTTCAGTAATGTCAAGTTCTGATGCAACTTCTGCGAAGTCGTTTGGAAGTTTTGGTTTGTCAGATTGGATTAAATTATCCTTGATCCATTCTGGACCAAGAGGCAATTTTAAAAGGAATTTTGATCTGAGGTTTTTGATTAAATTATCTGCCTCTTCTTGTGTAGATACTGGCAAAAGTATCTCATTATTTTCACTATACCAGTGTACTGGAGGAAGAGGATGTTTAACCCTTATATAATCCAAGGGAAGGCGTCTCACAGCATAGTTATTGTCTCGGAGTAACTGGACACCCCTTTTAAAGTCTTCGATACTACTGTTAACTGGAAACTGTTTGGCTAGATAAAGAGGTAGATCCAGGTATGATGGGGGCAGAGTAAGCTTGGGTGGTGAAAGCTCGAAGTAAGTTTCAGGTAATTTGTTTGGAACATAGTAAAATTCCCTGAGTTTTTCAACTCTAATCTTAAGGTCGTTGAGCTTTTGTCTCTCTGTCAGAGGAAATAGGTGTTGCCCCTCTGGTTTAAGGTCTTTTGGGTCATTAGGGAGGTTGGGTTTTTTTACAAAGTATGAAGGGGCAGCAAGTCAAACTTGTAAAAAGCTCTCAAACTTCCTGCAATTTCACTGATATCCTTTGAAAAGATGATTGGGATTGCTTTTGGGAAACGCACCTTGATTGATGAAGGAATGTCTTCCGGGTTACTAGGGAGCTCTGGAAGGTTCTTTTGGATAAGATCCTCATAGAGCTTATATATTTCATGGTAATTGATTTTTTCAAGGGTAGGATCCAAAAAGAAATTAAATCCATATTCCAACAATTGAGCCACTTGCCAGAATTTTAACAAAGTTAGATCGGTTGATCTGAGGTAGGTGACGAAGAGGGCCTTGTTAATAATTATTTTGATTTTCTTTTTGGTGGCTTTGGTGATGTATCTGAGATTGTTAGCTTTAAGGTAATTGTTATGGAACTCTTTCTCGATTTTTTTATATTCTTTTTGATGTTGCCCTTTGATTATTTCCTTTTTTGCAAAGGTTCTGAAAAAATCTCTGTTTCTATATTTGATCTTTGAAAAGATTCTCCTAAGGGATGTTCTTGGCGGTCTTGTTGGTTCATTTTTAATTTTGATAAAGAAGTTGACAATAGACTTGGTGGTTCTTTCACATTGATTTAATTCATTACAAAGTTCAAGAATTTTGCTTTGCTCATTTGGAGGGATCGCATTTCTGATGTCAGTTGATATGGTAGATGGGTTGGTAATAGTCGTTTCAAGGTGCTCGTTAATCTCATCTGCCCAAGAAATTTGGGAGGATTCTATGGTCCTGACTGATTGGCTAGGGGAGGGGTGTTCATCAATTTCCATTTCAGTGCTAGTGTTAGGTTGCATGGACATGGGTGAACTATTTTGAATTGGATCATGCACAATGCATGCATTTGCATGTGAACTGATTTGATCTACATTGTGTTCAAGGAGTGCTGCATGAGATATTTCAGAAGAACAATTGTCCTACATTTCATTGTCATTAATCATTGCTTTATTTGGGGCAGGTGTGTTTGGAGAGGTCTGGGCATTTTGGTTTTTTGTTTTAGCAAGAAAGTGTTATCAGAGTTTGAAAAGATAATATCAAGCCTATTCCATGGAATATGTAATTTGTAGTTTAGATATTTTTTCATTATTTTCTTTATTATTTCGGTTCTGTCTTCGTCAGTGATTTCAAAAACATTTTAGAACTCAAGAAAGGCATTGAGGGAGTCTGCTGGCATGGGGTTCAAATATGCAATATTGATCAAGGTAATTGGTGTAGAAATTCTGGTTCTCTGGTATATTTCGAAGGTGGTGACGATGACCTCAGGTGTTTCAGGACCTTCAGTGACAGAGTGTACTGGTGTGAGCCATGATTGGGGAATGTTGCCAAGTTTTAGAAGTTTGAAAGTGGAGTTTGGTAGGAAATGGTGATTTTGTTCGTTTTTGTGTTTTTGTAAATTATAACTGCTTTAGGTTTTTGAGTATCGGTAATAAGCACATTCAGGAGAATGTGCTCATGGTTACTAAGGGGGACCTTGGAGGAGGAAGTTCCTCCAGAGTCTCTAAAGATTTTTTTTTGCGAAGAAATTTTTGTATTTCCTTTTATGGTAATTTTATTCAGATGCGAGTGCTAAGCAGAAAGAGTTTTTCTTTGTTATTCATTAATTATTATTATTATAGATTGATATTTCATAATACTTTGTTAAAATTGATTATATAATATTGTCACATCTTAATTATCTAATTTTTACTTTTTACATTAGTCAATCAGTATACAATATTCTTATATGGAGATATATGTAATATAAGTATTCTTTAAAATTATGTTCTTGTTCTTTTATAGATTGTTCTTTTATAAAAGTAAATTTACTAATAATTATATTGGTCCTATAAAATAATATCCTATATAAGAGTTTGTTTCTTTATAAAAGATTCTTTTATAAAGGGTTGACTGTATCTTGTTCATGATTTTAGATTGATCAAAAATATGATACCATCTTTTTTTTCCACTTATTTGTATTTGACTTTGATCAATGACAATTTGTGCAAACTTCTTTCTTAAAATATTGGTTCTTTATTATTAATTTTACACCAAGTATGAAAGAAAAGAAATGTTTTTTAAATAATATGTGTAATATTGTTGCCATTAATATTCTTAATCTTGGGATTGAAAAACTTATTAGAGATATAATCAAAAATTATTATCATAGAATTAATTATTTAAGGGGTAGTAACTTAGATAAGATAGGTGCTTGGATCAATAGCAAAACAAATACTAACAAGTAGTGGTAAAGAAACTGCTATTCTCGCTTTGCAAGGGTCTAGGGCCAACAAATTCCTTCCTTTAAATCCGGCTTCTCTTTCATCTTTGAATAATAAAATATGAATTTGCTTTTTTTAATTATTTATGCGTGTAAAATGGTTACTCATTGAATTCGCCATTTTTCGAAAATCGTATTTAATTCCTTTTTATGGTAATACAGAAACATGTATATGACAGAATCATGTGATTTTGAAAAAGCCACGTATTTTTACGTGTTTATCTTCAAATTTATAGTGACACCTGGAGCTTTTATAAATACCGCTCCCGTCAACATGACTTCTTGAACTTCCTGAGAATCTTGCTGAGCTAAACGTTCAAGTGATCTCAGGAGCCTATACCGATTTAATTATATATAGATATATTTGATATGTTATATTAAGAATATACTGTATATTCTGCACACGTTTTGACTCTGTTTCAAATATATAACAGAGCAAATATATTAATCAGCAGTTTTCGCGTAAGTATTACAGTTTGTATTATTTGCCTACATATATAGCACATGCAATCACATGCAGTATGGGGATTCATCTAGTTAGACACTTTCACGATTATGAGGAGCGATTACGGTTTCTCCTCTGATGATTTACGGATCGTTGTGATGTATGAATCTTCAAGCGGTCATTTATGACTCACTCAACCAGGGAAGGGCGATTACGGTTTCCCTTCCGGGATATTCTTACGGGACTGTTGTGGTCTGCTGTGATCTGCTAGTGCTAGAGTATTTCCTGATATATTCGCTAACTTTTAAAAAATAATTTATAGGACCATTATAAAAAACCGAACATTAAGAATTTCTTGGTTGATATTAAAAAACGACAACTGCAAACGGTATGATGCTATGCTTTATCGACGGCTGTCTTTGTACATATTTTTAATCTTAATTATCTTGTTTTTAGTATGAATGTCGAACGAAGATCAAAAAAAAAGTCGAGAAATAAGTACTATAACGAGCACTGTAAGATCTGCAAGAAAAAGTAGGAATTGATGTTTCCAGTATTTTTGTATTTTAAAAATAATTTGATTTTGAATAGACTATAATTTGATTTCGAATAGACTCGAGAGAAAAATAATCCAGCAAGAGTAGAAGTGATCGAAAACGATGAAAAGGACCAACGACTAAAAACTTCCGAATATACAGTTGATCCGTCAGATCCTTCTGGAAGCGATGTAATTATATTATGTTAATGTTTAGCCATAAAAAAGGTATTTTCCGTAAACTTTCTGAGCTTATCTACGTATGTAGGCAGAAAATGATGTTTTTAATTACGAAAGAGATAAATTGAACATATCAGATCATGAGCAGCTGCGTGAGCCGAAAACGTGATTCAACAAGATGATCTACAGAAGATTAGCATGTGTTGGTTAGAAAATGTCCTCTATAAATCCGAATATGGATCCACCCACGTGGTGTAAGTTGGTATCTGGATAAAAAAAGGTGGATTGGTTACGATTAAACTTACAATTAGTAGTAATATTGGCATGTATAAGACCACAAGTGTATGATTCGAATATAATAATTCAATAAAAACCATGACATTGAATGCCCGTTCACTTTAAAAATATATATATATATATATATTTTTGCAGATGTTATTTGCTGTAAATGTTTATTATTCTTGCCACCATATGAGGTGATTGATGATCAAGAGGTGAGGGATGCGACCGATGATAAAGTAGAAGAGGCGAAGAAAAAAAAAGTAAATCTCGTTATACGGATTTTTTCTTGTGTATATTGAACACTGATAATAATTTATTTTCTTGCCATTTAGACGGGACCAATTAAATTAAGCAAAGAAAATAGAAAGGAGGTTGACGAATGTTACAAGTTAATGGATAGACGATACGTGTGGAAACTTTCGTCGGGAAAAGTAATCGCTATATAAATTAGGGAGGGAGCTGGAGCATGAACAGTTAGTATTCATGCATGAGGTTATGTTTGTGTAGGAATAATTGTAATTAACTAAAGCTTTATTCCCAGTGCTGTTCACTCATTTATCCTGGATATCGATGACGAGTTGGTTGCAGATTGTTTCACCGAGGCAGAACTTCGTGAGATAGAGCTCACACCTATCCCAGAAGTTCCCGAACTCTCAGATGAAGTTAATGATTTTCT